TATCAATTTGTAAAAAGTTTTAATATGCCAAAGGTTCTTCTATTAATAACTCTCCATTCAACATATTTAATATTCCTCTGCCTAACCCCTTCGATCGATCCATTTTTTCTCCGTTTACGGTTTTTTTAAGAATCAGTGAAGTTTGTTTTATGATTAGAGTAAACAAAACACACAGGTAAATAATGACTGTGAAAAAGAAACTACAATTATTTGCAGTATCTTTAATTGTAATAATGATGCTAGCAATAAAGAAAAAAAAATCATACGATTTTTAAAAAAAATGTAAACGGGGAAAAAATGGATCGATCGAAGGGAATAGGGTTAGGCAGAGGAATATTAAATAAAATCCACAAGGAAAAATTCCTGTAGCTGGCTGTATACCACGTATAACAAAAAGAGGTTAATCTTTGTAAATGGGTATATTTATTTAAAAAACCCTTAAAAGGGCCACATCAATAAAACAAACGTTTTCGGACCACACAGTCCATCATCAGGTTTTTAAAATCGAAAAATGCTAGGTCACAATGCCTGAGCCACCAAAATACTAGGGTAAAAACCCTTTAAATTACATTTAGTTATGAAATGTTGTACATTTTGTTGTAAAATAACTGTGTTCAGTATTAAATTAGACTATAGGTAACACATGGCTCAATCTGGTTCCAGAGCCGGTGAGAGGGTACCTCTGCACTCGGTGCAGTTCCACGCTGTTCTCCGAGTGCAGAGGTACCCTCTCACCGGCTCTGGAACCAGATTGAGCCATGTGTTACCTATAGTCTAATTTAATACTGAACATCACAGTTATTTTACAACAAGATGTACAACATTTCATAACTAAATGTAATTTAAAGGGTTTTTACCCTAGTATTTTGGTGGCTCAGGCATTGTGACCTAGCATTTTTCGATTTTAAAAACCTGATGATAGACTGTGTGGTCCGAAAACGTTTGTTTTATTGATGTGGCCCTTTTAAGGGTTTTTTAAATAAATATACCCATTTACAAAGATTAACCTCTTTTTGAATATTAAATATGTTGAATGAAGAATTATTAATAGAAGAACCTTTGGCATATTAAAACTTTTTACAAATTAATAATAATAATCATTTTGTAGGTCAAAAAATGGGATGTAGTTGACCACTGGAATGAATTTGACTAAAAAGTTTCGAAAATGTTACCAACATGCATATTTTTTTTGTTATTAATATTAGTAAAGTTTATGCTACGTCTGTCCCAAAGAATTATTGCATGACATTTTAGTTAAACCTGACAGTTGCAGGATTGTAATCGGCTAAATGTGAAAAGGTTATTTTTTAATGTAGAGTAAAAACTTTAAAAATTCAAATATTTATTTAATTTACATATTAGAAATCCCGTCCTGTATAAAAATTTTTATTGCGCATTATATTGGAACAGCAGTTTGTTTCAATTCCTATTCTATACATTTCAAGGAAAGTGCTTAATTAGCTAAGATTTGTTTATGGATTTATTATTATTTATTACAAACACTACGGAATTGGAATGTTTGTTTATTTAGAATAACGCTTCCTCTTAGAATCTCTTAAAGAGTTGACTGCGAGATAAAAAAATTTACTGGTAATTGCAAGGCATCAAAGCAAACATTCCTGTGATAAAATAGCATCGATTGAAATCAGTCATATTTGGATAAGTTATTTTCCGATAAGTTTCTGTGGCAGCCAATAATTTAATTTTGTGAAGATGTATCATTAAATAGTGGAAATAGTTTAAATCATTAAGCAGTTAATTTTTGAGTTATTCTACCAGATTCGGTGTGCAAATGAAATATTGTTGTGAAGTTTAGTTAAAAAAAAAAAAAGTAAATAGTTTAATTAGTAAAGCAGTTAATTTTTGAGTTAATCTACCAGTTCCGGTATCCAGATGAAATAGTGTTAATACAGTTTAGTTAAAAAACAAGATACCAGTGTAAGTTTACCTTCTTTTTATAAATAACAAAAATGAATATTATATTTACAACAATCCACAATCCGATTCAGAATCTGATTAATTAAAATCAATGATTACAGTAGATATGTGGCTGGTATCAATTATATCTTACATTTCAAGAAAATTCTTAACCAATACAGTACGAAAACGCTAGAAACGTGTTTTAGATGTAAGTGCTATAAGTTTTAGATGGAAAAATAAGTGCTAATTCAGCATCGAAAAAATACAGAACACCAAAGGGTACGTTAATGAACAGAATGCATGGGCGATGCATTAAACAACATGGTAGTCAAACTGTTTTTACCAAAGTTGAAGAAGATGATTTTGTGGATGCAGTGATTACTTGTACGAATTGGGGATCCCCATTAAATACAGTGGATATTCGTTTAACTGTAAAAACTTACCCAGACTGTCTTGGTAAAAACTCACTCTTTAAAAATAATTTTCCAGGATACGATTGGGCTAAGGGGTTTCTAGAGTGACATTAATAAACTTAAAATGAACACTTAAGCAATATCATAAAAAGAGCTCGTGCTGCCGTCGATGCCGAAACATTAACAATTTTTTTTTGAGAAATTAAGCAAAACACTTGAAGGAGTCGATCCTGCTGCAATATTTATCAAAAAGGTGTCAAATATCCAGACAATATAATGAATTATGCTAAAAGTGCTGTGAATTATATTATGTGTTTCGACAGTGGAGATATACTGCTGCCTTATATATTTTATAAGGCTATAAATTTGTGGAATTTTTGTCGCCAAGGAGGTCCTAGGGGCACCCCATGTTGTGAAAAGAAATGCTGCAGTAAAGGTACGCGTTATAATAGATCTAATTATGGATGGTTTGATGTAATTTATTTTACCGATTGCTTTAAGACTATTTTTTTGTCTCGTGCTCGATTAATTGAAGAAAAGAAGGTCTAAATAGGAGACAATATTTCGAGTAATTTTACAAAAGAAGTGCTCAATATTTGTAAAAATAATAACATTGCTTTCATTTGTCTTAAACTAAATGCAACGCATCTTTACTAACCCCTCTACGCTTCTTATTTCTTCTCACAGCAATAAGATTTGACAATTAGGAAATACGAGAGCAAAAGAAGGCCAATGGAGATCGACTTGCAGCGGTGTCTTATCTAACAGTATAGCAAACTACACCTGTTCCAATAATGTTACAAGGGGCAAGATGCTGGTTGGGTTTAGGGGTAGATGCCCCTCCAGAATATATATGTGAAAGCCGAACCGGTCAAGTACGGCATCAAAATGCTTTTGTGTATACAGGTAAATATCACTGGTGATAATTGTTTCACCTCAATAGAGATAGTTGATCAACTAAAAAAACTTCGACCTTTGTAGGCACAGTGCGTAAAAATTCATCCTAATTCCTATTCAACTAAATAAAAATGTTGATAAGCGTTAATTTGGTTTTACATGAGGCAATACAATCGTATCACATGTCTTTATCGTTCAGATCGTAGATGCCAGCGATGACCTTCAGTAATTTGGTATTCCATAATCGATATTGCTATAGTCAATAATTAAATTACTTTTCACGCTTCTAATCCTGGGGTTAGAAAAAATCGATCGGATTTTATTCAAGAGCTGGGAATCAGTCTTATAAATAAACATTTAGAAGTAAGATTTGTTATGCCAAATTTGTCTAGAGAATTACGCTCAATAATTTCCAAAGCATTAGAAAATAAAATTACTCATCAAGATCAGACTAGATTAATATCATAAGACCATCTGCAGATGGTCTTATGACATGGTTACTTCAGAGACTTACCTCAGAGAGTTACCTGTACTATGTGCAAAGAATAGATAAACGCTTACAAGTTATTCAAATATTTTTTTCGCAATATTCTAACATTACGAAAAAAACATGACTGTTATTTTTTTATGTGGTTATTCTATTATGATTTTCTATTGTATTAGATTAAGACATTACTATTATAAACTACTTTTTACAAAATCAACCGTTAATTTCAGTTTAAGATAATTTTTTTTTGTTATAATAAGTTATTATTATTAAATCTCGAAAGTTACAATTCTTCGAACATATTATGTGAAATAAATCCAGATATGCTCTCCTTCAAGCCATCCTGCAAGGAAATATATTTGGAAAACGAGTTCCAGGAAGAAGAAGAACACCTTGGTTAAAGAACCTCAGAATCTGGTGCAATACAACATCTGTGCAGCTTTTCCGCGCTGCTGCAGATAAGATAAAGATTGCCATGATGATCGCCAACATTCGTAACGGATAGGCACATCAAGAAGACGAAGATAATAAGTAATGTTTTTGAACTTTGATGGTACACAAGGCAAATATCGAACACAGTATTTAATTAAATCTTGCCCAAGTACTTTCGATCACAAGATCATCCTCAGGGGCATTTCGTCAATTGTGGCCTATCCAGCAATAATGGAATGTCATACATGTAAACGGGGACATAACAAGTACACTAAAGACAAACAAACACTTTAAAATTTAAATTGGAGAAGCTACATTTTTATGTTATAGAAGCCGGAGACAGAATGGTTCTGTCTCCGGCTTCTATAACATAAAAATGTAGCTTCTCCAATTTAAATTTTAAAGTGTTTGTTTGTCTTTAGTGTACTTGTTATGTCCCCGTTTACATGTATGACATTCCATTATTGCTGGATAGGCCACAATTGACGAAATGCCCCTGAGGATGATCTTGTGATCGAAAGTACTTGGGCAAGATTTAATTAAATACTGTGTTCGATATTTGCCTTGTGTACCATCAAAGTTCATTTATTCGAACATTCAACCTTATATTGAGTTATGTTTTTGTTTAAAATTTCTTTTAAAAGTTATTTTTTTAAAATAATAAATATATTTTTATATCTTATTTAGAGGTTTTTAAAATTCGGGTCATCTATGACCCCACGATAGTAGTTATGTGGGTGTAAATAAACGATAGTAGTTCAGGGTTAAGGTCAGTAAATAAAAACAGGAAAATTGATACACGTTTATTATTTATAGACAAAATCTACAAAATAAAATATATGTTTAATCACAGCTGTTGGACAAGTTTTCTTAAGAAACTATTATAGTTTGAACTTGCAAAACCGAGCGAATTCTTTTCTCATTCATCCACTCACATTTACGACTCATTGTAAAGCTTTGCGCTCTGTATCTGGCAGCCAAAAGTTCAGTATACCACACACTAAAATAAAGTAAATTATAAACTTTTTTATAGTTAAAGATTATTTTTGTACTATTTATGACGAAAATAAAGTTGAACTGCAACCTTGAGACAACAAGAAGTAGGTATAATTATTTTATTACTACCGATTTTCATTGCTTTTCATTCATTTTAATTACTTTCCATGTTACTTTGGATAACAATAATGATTTCTTAAATCGAAAAATTCACTTTCTAACTGGAATTATGTAGATTATGAAAGTTCTTATTTCTCATCATCACTTAAATTTAAAATTATTTTGTCAATAAAATTATCAAAAGATATCACCTTGGAAACAAAATCATCCTGAATTGCCACTGTTTTGTCGCAAATTTTTTTCCATTCTGTAATTGACAGGGAATAGGACGTCACTTTCCCACGATAACTTACTTTATAAGTCTCGATCTTGTGATCAGATTTTCTTATTGAGATTAAAAAGAAAATTGCACATTTTTATCCTGTTATTTAATTGTTTATTTACTTTAGAATATCTCTTAAAGAGACTGTTGTCTTTAAGTCCATCATCATCATTGTTACATTTTAATCCATACTATATTTTCTTTGTACGATATCTATACAGTATGATTTGAAATTAGATATGGAATGAGACAGGGATGCGTATTGTCGCCAATTATTTTTAATACCTACTCCGAAGAGATCCTGAAAAACGCTCTTATGAGTGAAACAGCTGGAATAAAGGTAAATGGAGTTCCCATAAATAACATTAGATATGCGGACGACACTGTGATCTTAGCTGAAAACATGGAAGATCTTCAGAGACTGGTGACCAGAATAGAAGAGTATGGCCTAACAATGAATGTCAAGAAGACGAAATTTATGAGAGTATCGAAAACTCAAATAAATGGCTAGAATCTTTTAATAAAGGGAACCAACGTCGAACAATTGGACAAATATGCATATCTGGGAACAATGATTAACTCCACAAATGATAACATTCAGGAAATCAAAATCAGAATAGAAAAGGCTAGATAATTTCAACAAAATGAGAAGAGTGCTATGTACCAGGGATTTAAAACTGGAAGTAAGAGTTAGGTTGGCGAGCTGCTATGTTTTTACGAATTTATTTTATGGAATGGAATTTTGGACCTTGAATGCAACATCAATTAAAAAACTGGAATCATTCGAGCTGTGGGTGTATAGAAGAATTCTGAAACTATCGTGGACATAACACGTCACAAACAAAGAGGTTCTGAGAAGGATGAATAAAGAAATGGAAATTTTAAATAAATTAAAACAATAAAATTAGAATATCTCGGACATATTACACGTGGAAAGAAATACACCTTGCTTCAACTAATTATGCAGGGAAAGATCCAAGGAAAGAGAAGCATAGGGAGGCGTAGAATGTCATGGCTGCGCAACCTGAGAGAGTGGTACGGATGTACATCAAATGAACTTTTCAGAGCAGCCGTCTCAAAAGTCCGAATAGCGATGATGATTGCCGACCTCCGCCCCGCGTAGATAGCACTTGAAGAAGAAGATACAGTATGATGCAAATGTATGGAATAAATTCATTATTTCAGAAACAAACGAATTTTTAAAAAAATCTTAAGACACGTCAATTTTAATTCTTGAATGACCCTCAACTGATATAATTATGTGTTGGACATTACGTCATCAGTGTCGGCGTAATGACGTAATCGACTATTTTTTTAATAACAAGCTGTTTCGAGGTCACGCAACAGCTCATTTGAAAGGTCTCCTTATCGGTTTTGCAACGATGTAATCCCTTGAATATTTATTTCTACAGGATTCACCAAAATTATGAACTTTGTTAAGTAAGGTGGAATTAAAATAAATATTCATTTACTGAACTAAAATACACTAAGAAACGCCACTGGGAATAAAACAAAATAGTGTTCTTACTGGTTCCGAAAAAAAAACTATATTGGTAACAAACAATGCTACATTATAATCTGAAATTAATTATTGTAGTAAATATTCCAAGATATTTTTCAATAATATTTAAATCAATATTGTCACTGATTCGTCTTAATTTGTCAATGATCTGTAAATCTGTCAAATAATAGACGTCAAATTTTTACTCTTTGAGCTTTTTGCCGGTCATTAATAACAGCATTTACAAAAATGAACAGAAACAGAACGAATCGAGATTTTAATCATGATTGATTATGGAGATAGAGTGATGATTCAAGCAGATGTTCGTAAGTTATTTAATGCTAAATACCCAAATCCCGAACCAATTACTCAACCAACAGTAAGTAAAATTGAAAAAAAAGGTTAAAGATCTTTCCAGAAGTGGTAGAAAATCAATAACCGAAGCCAAGAAACTGGACGTTGTACTGGCGTTTCAAGAAAATCCCCATACCAGTTCTAGGCAGGTCGAACTAGATAATAATGTCCACCACTCAACTGTTGTAAGAGTGCTAAAAAAGGAGAAGTGGCATCCATAAAAAGTACATCTGGTCCAGGAGCTATTAGATGACTTTGATAGAAGAATCGAATTCTGTGAAACCGATATGGAAAAATGTAATGGAGATCAGAGTTTTATACAAAAGGTACTTTTTTCTAATAAGGTGTCTTTTATGCTGAACGGTCACGTAAATTGCCCAGACATATCGATACTGGGCAAGTAAAAATCCACATTGGATGGAAGAGTATAGGATACAATATCCCGAGAGGGTGAATGTTTGGGAGGCAGTATAAACAATCAAATTGTAGGGCCATATTTTTTTGAGAAAAACTTAACTGCTTCTCGTTATCTAGAATTTCTTCAGGATAATCTGTTGCCACAGCTGAATCAGCTGGTACCACAAATATTTTTTATTTGAACAAGCTAAAGATACCACCAAATCATAAGAAACGAGGAAGACCAAAAAGAACATGGAAGGAGGGAATAACAAAGGTAATGAGCACCCGAGACTTGACCGAGGAACAATGGAATGATAGAAATTCGTGGAAATATATATAGTACCACAAATAATTTTTCAAATAAAAATTATTTGTGGTACCAACATGATGGAGCTAACTTTTTTTGCAGGTAGGTGGATAGGTAGAAGGGGGCCCATCGAATGGACAACAAGGTCTCCAGATTTGATTCCGTTAGACTTTTTTTGTGGAGATATGTAAGGAGCAGATTGTATCAAAGCCGACCGAATAATGTAGGAAAACTTGAAAGAGTGCATCAGAACAGAAATTGCATAAATAACACCTGAATTTATCGAAAACGTTAGAAAACAATTTATTGCCCATCTTTCATATTGTATTATTGCTGAAGGTCGTCAATTTGAACATTTGTTGTAATTTAATTGTATTTAAGTAAACATTTATTGTAAGTTAATTGTATTAATAAACCAACAGTATTAGTTAAGCCGGTAGAAATAAATACCTATTCAAATGATTATATCGTTGAATGAGCTGTCAAATGAGCGTGACCTCGGATTATATGTAAAAAAATCGTTGAATACGTCATTACGCCAACACTGATGGCGTAATGTTCAACACATACATAGCAATTGATGGCAATTCAAAAATTAAAATTGACACGTGTTTTTTAAGAATTTTTTTTAAAAGTCGTCTGATTTTGAAATACTGAATTTATTCCATACATTTGCATCATACTGTATATTACGTGTGTTCCCAGTTTGTGCACTGTTGTTATTGGGCTTCTCTTTTATTTTACTTTCTTTTTTCTGTATCATTTTTAGTTTTCTTCGCTACTGAAAGTCGAAAAAAATGCTGAATTTATTGAGGGGTATCAAGAGTCACGTAAGTAAGCAAAATTGTTAGTTACCTTAAAAAATTTAAACATATTTATATACCTAACCTAACTTACTATTACTTACCTGCCATAGAACCACCAATAACCATAAAGGTAGCGCTACAGCTTTGTTTAAACAACACCGGAAATACAGCATTGGTGCCAACAATTCCTATCCGCCCTATCGCTGGCGATATCGTCAATGCGGAAGCCCTAAATGTAAACCATACTGGTTTAAAACTTTTTACAGTTATAAAAAGTCGTCAACCAAGCAATACCACGTAACTCAATATTTTGATAAATCTGGTTTTTGTTTCATTTGATGCGAAATCTCATGCGAAATATCTGAAAGACTTTAGATTTGAAAAAATCTAACACCACGTATTTCATTCAGTTTCCATACTAAAACCATTGAGGGCTGGTTTGCTAGATTTGTTATCAACAAAATTAAGTTATTTTGTTATTGATCTCCTGTAAAATTGAAGAAAGTAAGTTAAATGATGTTGCTTGGTTGATGACTATATATTACTGTATGATTTTAATTTATTAAAACTTTTAACATCCAGCTGTTTCTCCTTTTTCAACATATAAATCAAGTCCAGGAGACCAAAGGAATGAAAACCGATTTTTTCGGCATAGGTAAAATTGAACCACAGATCTGATGTTAAAATCAAAATAAATGAAAGTTTACGCAACTCCCTGAAGAACTTTGTCTCAGTCTTCGAAATTGAACTAAAGCTTCGTACTTGAAAATATCAAGAGGACGTTGGCCATATATTATGATCAGCTAATCAAAATGATAAGTATTATTTTACAAGTCAAATTCAATATCACGAAGGCACGGTTTCAACAATGGACTTGATGGAAACATAATAACAAGCTCTACATGAACGAGACTCCACTAAGTTTTGATATTGAATACATGATATGAGTTTTAAAGTGAGTAGGGTTGAACACTGGACAGAGAAATCCTCAGCCTTGGCATGACGCATTCCAATGGTTAGTAGACGAACTAATATACCGAAAATTGAACATAGTACATTGAACATATGTAAAAAAAATCATCACATGATTGGAAAACGTCAAGCTACGGATCTCAATCACTGATAAACCTTAGATGATCAAAGGGCGCATAAGAGCTAGTTATGAAGAGAATAGCGATATAAAATGTAAGATATATGTTTTAAGCTGAAAAATTCACAATGTTGTAAAAGAAGTTAAAAGGGTGAACCTGACAGTCTTAGGAATTAGTAACATGCAACAGCTAAAATCAGATCAAATCCAAGTAGAGGATAATCATGTTTTATTTGGATATAGACCACAGCAACCACATTAAAGGGGAGGGTGTCACTGTCAACGAACAAGTAAAAAAGATAATATAAGTTTTTTCTACAAAATCTTTAACATTACTCAGTTTCGTGCACCAATATGAGACCACTTTGACTCTATGAGCAGATTAGCTCAGCAATGACATCGGTTATCAAATCTAACTTTACGATAATGGACAAATTTACCGCAAAAGACAAAATATATTACTAATTATGAACTTGGTGTATCGAATTAAATGCAGTTTTATTAGGATAAATCCTAATTACTACAAACACCTTCTTTGAACTATCCCCTCGTCACAAACATACCTAGGGATAAAATGCGTAAACATCTAAGATTGGAAAACGTTTTCGCAATAGGATTTTATTAGTATAGTTGCTAGATCGTTAAGGAATACACAGCAACAAAAGATCTAGTGATCTTGCTAGAAAAAGATCAGGTACAAAATATATATTAAAGACATCAAACCAAAAAACACATGCCAAAAAAATGGCATGTGTGTATGTGTGTGGGTGGCAGCAACAAAGCAGTAATCGATGGAATTTCGTGCAATCAATTCATGATTTAGTGTTCGAAAACCTCCTTATTCACCAGATTTGGCTCTGTCTGACTATCATACCTTTTCTAAACTGGTCAAAGGCTAAGCTAAGTAGAGTAAACTATGTAAAATACATACCTTAAATTTGTGGGGAATGTATCGACAATGACAGACAAGAACATATAAGCACTAACATGTCCACAAGCTATGTATACTCCTGTAAATATGGTTATATATACAGCTCCTCGCCAATATAATAGTCCAATAATGCATGCCACGGAAACACCAGATAATATTACTAAAAAAAGAATATATATATATATATATATATATATATATATATATATATATATATTATATATATATATATATATATATATATATATATATATATATATATATATATATATATTTGTTCTTAATGTTTGTTTTCTTTTCTTAGCTTTCGTCAGAGTGTTTTTGTTTATTAGTGTAGTGGTAAAGAAATAATAGAATCGTCTTACTTACTTAGAACCTTCTTTTTTCCTAAAAGGTTTATTATGGATCCCGTTAGACAATAAGCAACAACTTGAAAAATGGCACCAGCCATTGCATTTATGTAGACCATGGATTTTGTAACATCCTAGAAAAGATGTTGAGATGAGCAAGCGAAAGATTAAATACTGAATGGTAAAAACATCGGCCAGATATAAATAATGATAAAAAGTTGTTGTACATAATATGTTCAAAACAGTACTGTTTTGAACATATTATGTACAACTTTTTTAAATATTTTTAACTCTAAATCTTTGTCTCCTGATGAAGCTGACAAAAAATCAGCGAAATATGGAGAAATAAAAGAAAAAAGAGTTTTTTTTAAATAACAGACCGCATATCCGATACACCAATACAATTAATTATAAATATATATATATATATATATATATATATATATATATATATATATATATATATATATTGTTATGTTTCTTCTTTCCCTTCCAAAGAAAAATAAATAAAAAGATCTTTTTCCGTTTCCAACAAAATTATCAAAAAAACCTTTGTTTAGAATTAGAAGACATTTTACCTGTAAGTTAATCTTTTCATTGTTTTGTTACGATTTTAAATGTTATGGCATATAGAACTGTAAATATTTTATGACTAATTCTTTTTTATTGATTCTCGTAATTTGTAGGTCAAAATATACCTGAGCTTCGCTACCAGTTGTTTACAGAAATCTCTAGACACTAATTTTAGTGAGTCATCCACGTCTCGAGGTTGAAAAACGAGTCGAGCGCCTTCACCAAAATACGAGATTATTCAAGAAGTCCGCCGAATTCTCTAGATGACAACAGTTGTGTATATAAATGAAAGGTTTTTATTTGGCAGTGAGTAATAAGAAGCTCGGGAACCGCGATATTTAAATGTAACGAAACGTGAAATAAATACATTTGTAAAGTTATTTAATAAATTAGTAATTAGCTATCGTGAGTTTTAATAAATTAGATTATAGACAATAAATTAGAATAAAGACATATAAATTAGAACTATATAAACTTCACAGTGGTGTCAGAAGTCGGATTGTAGATAAATTTAATTTGATTTTTGAAAAAGACTTTTGAACTTTTGAAAGGTATTGTTCGTCGGGAACATCCGCGTAGTCCAGTAGTGATCGTTGTACGAAAGAACATTTAAAAAGTACGTGTGTGCCTGACCAAAGATGCTGCTAGTAGAACTTTCAGTGAAACAGTTGCGTGAGCAACTAGAAGAACGCGATGAAGACTGCAGCGGGTCCAAGAAGATCCTCCAAGAACGACTGAAGACTGTTCTCAACAAGAATGGAGACGACCCAGAGACATTCCAGTTCCAGTCAGCAGAAGAAGCCGTTTTAACGAAAATAATTGATGGAAAATTCGAGAACGTTTCCAAAAGATTGGATGAAACGTCTCAAATTATTAAAGAAGTAGGTAGACAAAACAACGAGAAACTCGAAAATGTGTCTAGAAGATTCGACGAGAAATTTGAAAATGTTTCTCAAATGATGGAAGAAACTTCTAAAAAGAATAATGAGAAATTTGAAGAAGTCTCTAAAACATTTGATAAAGTTGAAGAGAAAATCAAACAGTTAGAGACCATGATAACTAACACGAGAGTGCTACCACCAATTAATACGGTAGCTTTAGATCCGGTAGAGATAAAAGAAGACGAGACAAAATGTAAGTTGGAAACACGGCCGAAATTTGAAGGAAGTGGAAGTTCCGTTCATATCAAAGTCCCAACTTTCGACGGAAAATCATCATGGAACAACTACATGAAACAGTTCGAATCAGCTGCAAGAGCGAATGGATGGTCTGAAAAAGAAAAGGCTGTAAACCTGACTATCGCTCTTCGAGGAGATGCCTTAGATGTGCTCCAGACCATAGCCGTAGAGGAGACGGATGATTTCGAACAACTGAAGAAGAGGTTAAATATGCGATATGGCCACGAACACTTGGAGCATGTATATCAGTCGCAGCTCAAAAATCGAAGACAAAAGAAAGATGAGGCTCTTCAAGAATATGAAGTAGATATCGCTAGATTAGTGCGATATGCTTATTCAACAGCTCCCGAAGACATGATGGAAAAGTTGGCCGTTGAAACGTTTATTGATGGTCTTCGTGATCATGAGATGCAAAGAACACTACGATTAGCTCGTCACAAGACGCTGGTTGATGTCTTATCCGCCGCCCTCGAATACTAGTCAGCTACGCAGGCCTCTGGCGGTTACAGTAAAGTTAGGACTGTAAAAGAGGGAAAAGATGAAGATAAACTAAACCAGCTCGTTAATATGATGAAAAGCATGACATCCAAGAAGACGAAGACCATAAGATGCTGTAATTGTGGCGAAATAGGACACGTACGAAGTTCATGTAAGCATCCTAGGTACGACACAAATCAAGAAACTCACCATCAGGAAAACTAGAACGGGTCGGCCTTAGGGGGGCAGCTTCGACCCAAAACTTTTCCAAAGACCCTCTCATACTAATAGCTTCTTTGAAATGTCGTGAAGATAGTGTATATGTAGATGGAGAAATAAATGGTAAAAAGCATACGTTGTTGGTGGATACCGGAGCGACAAGAACCATTATTCGCCCGACAGTTATAAACAGCCAAAAAAAACTGTTACCAACGAGGTTGCGACTTCGGACCGCCACAGGTGAAAATGCCAACATTCATGGAGAAATCCAGGTACAATTAGGAATTGGAGCAGAAAAGTTCGTCCATACTGTTATAGTTGCTGACATCGAAGAGGATGTTATATTAGGAATGGACGTAATGAATACGCATGGATTCCAATTGGATTTTAAGAATAAGGTAATCAAAGTTGGTAACGAGGAGGTATTTCTCCATCCACATGATGACAACACTATGCAAGCAGCCGTTAAAGAAGATACAGTCGTGCCTGCGAGAAGTGAAACGATAATAGTAGCGCGGCTACAGGGAATTGTGGACGAAGGAACACCTGTTATGATGGAGCCTTGGAATCATGACGACGAAGTTGGCCGTGGAATCATAATTGGAAAAGAATTAGTGACTTCGGCTAAAGAAATTCCTGTGAGACTTATTAATGTCAATGACTACCCAGTGACCATCAAGAAAGAGACAAAAGTAGGAACTTGTGTACCTGTCACATCCATAATCCGTCAGACGACAACGTCTGATAATTCCAACGATAAATTTGATCAAATGGTTGCGGTTGCTGGACAGTCTCTGAATCAGATCGAGAAAAGGAAATTAAGGGAATTTCTTCGGCAGTATCGTGATATTTTCGTACCGAAAGGAGGAAAGACGGGAAGAACTACCGTTGTTAAGCATAAAATCGATACTGGTAATGCTAAGCCAATTCGTCAAATAGCTCGACGATTACCACAGGCGAAAAGACAGGAAGCTGAAACGATTGTTCAGGAAATGAAGAAAGACGGGGTGATAGAACCTTCTACGAGCCCATGGGTCTCTCCGGTGGTCCTGGTTAAGAAGAAAGACGGAACAACGAGGTTCTGTGTGGATTACCGTTTGCTGAACAACGTTACCAAGAAAGATAGTTATCCTCTGCCTCGGATCGATGACACATTAGACACATTGGCTGGAAGTAAATTATTTTCTACTTTGGACTTGAAGTCTGGATACTGGCAGGTAGAAATGGACCCGGTAGATAAAGAAAAGACAGCCTTCACCACAGGATCTGGATTATGGCAATTCAACGTTATGCCATTTGGACTTTGTAACGCTCCTGCGACATTTGAGAGACTTATGGAAAATGTGTTGAGAGGGTTATCTTGGAAAACATGCCTAGTTTATCTAGACGACATAATCGTCTTGGGGAAGACATTTGAAGACCATCTGAAGAATTTAGAAAACGTTTTTAATCGACTTAAAGCTGCCCAATTGATGTTAAACCCCAAGAAGTGCCAGCTATTTCAAGGTAAAGTCAATTATCTGGGTCATATAGTCAGTAAAGAAGGAGTGGCCGTGGATAAGGGAAAAATCGATTCTGTTAAGGAATGGCCAAAACCAACTGACAAACATCAAGTGAGAAGTTTTCTGGGACTGTGTACTTACTACCGGAGGTTTATTAAGAAGTTTGCAGATATCGCTAAACCATTAACGCGACTTACAGAGGAAGCAAGAGAATACCGCTGGGATGTAGACTGCCAGAATGCCTTTGAAACCTTAAAAAAGCATTTAATCACAGCACCAATTTTAGGGTATCCACTGCCAGAAGGAGAGTTCATCTTAGATACAGATGCAAGTAATGTGGGAATTGGAGGAGTGCTGTCTCAGATTCAAGGAGGACAGGAAAGAGTCCTTGGATATTTTAGTAAAGTTCTCTCAAAACCTGAGCGAAATTATTGCGTCACGAGAAGAGAACTTCTGGCAGTAGTGAAATCAGTAGAGCACTTCTATCAATACCTCTATGGAAGAAAGTTTTTAATCCGAACCGACCATGCCGCCCTTACGTGGTTGATGCAGTTTAAGAATCCAGAGGGTCAGATAGCCAGGTGGATCGAACGACTTCAAGAATATGATTTTAAGATTGAGCACCGGGCCGGAGTTAGCCACCGAAACGCTAATTCTCTTTCCAGAAGGCCATGCCCAGCAGAGTGTTCCCACTGCAACAAAACGGAATCCAAGGAAGCAGCAGTGCTAAGAACGACGGTGATCAACGACGACTGGACGCCTACCAAGATCAGGGAAGAACAAGAGAGAGATCCAGTTATACAGAAAATCCGAAAATGGAAAGAGGAAAACCGTCGACCACCTTGGCAAGAAATATCGAACCTAGGCTCAGTAGTTAAGACATATTGGGCCCAGTGGGACTCATTTATCATGGAAGATGGCTTGCTCAAACGAGTCCTGGAAAATGATGACGGTTCAGAGAAGAGAAGACAGTTGGTGATTCCAAAGAGCAGAATAGCCGAAGTACTTCGTCAGTTACACGACAGTCCATCAGGAGGGCATTTTGGTGTGAAAAAGACCCTTCAGCGAATTCGGGAACGGTTTTATTGGATGAACAGTTCCGACGATGTAAAAGACTGGTGTAAGAAATGTACTATTTGTGCTACGAGTAACGGGCCTTATCGAAAAAGGAGAGCTCCTATGAGA